CTCTAATCCTTAAAATATTGTCAGAGCCCATGAATGCTGGCAATCTGGGCATATGTGTAATTATTCTGTAATTCCACCACAAATGTGATTTCTCTTGTGTGCGTTGCGACTCGTTACCCCCCCACCCCCCTCTTTTGTCATCCAAATAATTGTTTCTCTTTTTTGGGGGATAAATCTGAGAATGGAAAGCGTGGCTCAATAGATAGAGCGACATGAGCAAGTCTCATATGAGCATGCAATTTACATACTGATGGTTTCTCCCATCTCTTGATTTGAACAAAAGGGGCAGTTTGAAAAGATGAGTGAAAATGAGGATGAATTCAGAGGCGTCATCTCAAAGAGAACAGTATTCTTAATAGACATGTGCCAAATCACATCCAAAGACTTGGCTACAAGACTATTGGACTCATTTTAGATGGTTGTTTTTAGAGAAACGGTAAAGTCTTAAAGTAGCGACTCGAGCAAGATCAAAACAGAATTCTGGTTGAAGTGAGATCATCCAAAAAAAGATTTAATATGCACTCTAAAAACATAAATACATTTTAAAGAATTATAAATGATATTTATTTTGAATTATTTCAAATTGTAAAATATTTGAAAAGTTTTCCAAGTCATTGTATCTATTAAGACCTTATACTGACAGCGGCAAACAAGATGAACTTAAAGTGCAACTACACATTTCTCTCTGGATTCTTTCATCTAGCGAGCGATATTAAACAGGATTCTGGTTTAAATTTGTGGTTGTGAAATCATCTAAAATTGCTATTTAATATGCACTATAATTAGAAAATATGTATTATATATTATACAAAATTAAAATATTATCATTATTTTAAATTACAAGGAAACTAATTTGAAGTTATCCAAATAAATTAATGTTTTACTATAAATTAAAAATAAATAATAATAATAAACTTGTTGTGCATGGTGTTTAAGATAGCAGATCCTTACAGTATAAAAGTCCGTCATAATACTAATCTACTAATAATTATATAAATGTATTAAATACAAATACAAACAGTTTCAACATATCAACCATGGGGGGAAAAAACAGACATTTCTTTAATATCTCAATTATTATTAATATCTCAGAATGTTTCTCAGAGACAGTAATGAAATTTAATGAAGAGTAAATAGTAAAAAAAAAAGTACATTCAATTAAATGATTAAATCTTTTGCTTAGGTCTCTCAGTATTTTCTCCTGAGAAAAAGACACTAGAAATTTCACATGTGACTCCTCCACAGTTTTAGTACAGATCTCCAAGATCTGATTCACGAAGATACCAAACCTTAAACTACTCAAAGATTTTCGATATAAACTCAAACATTTCCCATCAAACTCTTCCAAGATTTCCAAATGATCTAAGCCATGCTATCTACAATAGTTTTATAACTCTAGACTCAAAAATGTTAACTTAAATATACTGAAATAAAACAAAACTGATGACCTTAAATCTCATGAGCTATGAAAAATCTACCAATGAGCAAGAAGTTCCCCTTCAGGAACTCGAGCTGCGTTGAGTCGCTTTGGGAACGCCCTTGCGTGACCGCGTTCTGAAGCACGTGTCAAATCCGTCCAATGGAGCAGCGAGACGTCACGAGCAGGGTGACGTAAGCACCAGAAAGCATAAAGGCACATCCGGCCGGGCGCAAACCAGCTTCTGCTCTTCAGTAGCGCTCTGTGTATGTGTCTGTCTATTTACTGTTGTCTGTCCGCACAAGCACTCATATATATAAAACAATGAGAAAGTCTATGGCGAGCGAACGGCATTACAAACGCTGTGTTTCTCCCTGCCCACGATATCTGGCAGCAGGGGATACACACGATGTGTGTGTCGTTTGTTTAGGAGCAAAGCATGCGCGGTCAGCTTTCGAGCAGCTGATTGTCATCACTGCGAGCTCTCGCTGCGCACGCTCCGCTCTCCCAAGCATATTCAGAGACAGAGTTGTCAATCTTCCTGAGCTCTGCTCATTAATTCCTTAACAATCGTCACATTTTTAAAAAGACTGGAAAGCTTCCTTGAGAAATGAAACCAAATTTAATTCACAGCGATTGAATTGAGAGACTCAGACACCCAGAACCTTCACCGTCGGCTCTACACGACAAACTAAGACGATATCTGTCCTCACTGTTAATTACCAACAAGGGTTATTTGAAGGGGGACTTTGAAGATGCTGTGTTCTTCTCCCATTCAGCTCCTCATATTGGAAATAATGAGAGTGAATGGCATGGGCCGTGGAGGGGTCTTGCCAGTTTTAATTTGAAAACCTCTCCAAGTCATTGTATCTATTAAGACCTTATACTGGCAGCGGCAAACAAGCTGAACTTGAAGTGCAACTTCACACTTCTCTCTGGCTTCTTTCCGCGTGCAAGAAAGGAATCCCAAATAAGCTGAGCCTGCTTGCGATTCTCTGCCTTAATTAAGACACTTGTGTCAGACTATAGGGTTTTCTTTCCCATAGTGCTGCTCACGAGTGTGTGTGTAAAACGAGCATGAAAGGAGAGAGAAACCACAGAAGAAGTGTTTGGAGAGAAAAACATAGAGATTAATTAATGGACAACTTCACTTGAATGGGATGGTGTTCGGGAGGGTGTATGTGGGGGGAATCCGCTATCCATTAAGCAATGCTCCAGATGAGACAGAAAAGCCTTTAGAAACATTTCTTTTTTGCGTTCTTTTCACTTCAGGATTTACTTTCAGCTTCAACACAAAAACATTTCTGTCAAAATTTCATCAGTGTCTCTCGCTTAACTTAAACAGGCTCCTGTAAAGGTAACAGCTTGCACTACATAAATCCCATTCCCAGAGGCCCACTGATTTTATGAATACATTTACTTCTTATTCTCTCTCTCTCCCTTTAATGTTTTCCTTGATCTAAGCTTATAGTTTCTCTCGACTGGGAAGACACATGGGGTCAAGGCCAGCAACAAAAGCCACGAAAAGCTGCTCTCTCATATTTATTTGAGATTTTTTTCGAATCTTCTGCGTCAACCCTGAGTGACTCAGTGTTAAGTCAGATTATAAACAGTGGCTTTAAAGCACAGAGAACCTGTGATCTCGAGGGGATTTGGCCACTGCTTGGGGTGTCCAGGTTCAAGACAACTTGCTTATGAATGCCATATACATAAAGTAATATATAAAATATAAAAATCAAATTTACACTATATATTAATTCCAATTGTATACTTAAAAAAATCAATTACATTAATTAATTACTAATTATTTTAATTTCTTTAAAACATGGACTTCCACATATATATATATATATATACAATACACTTATTCATCTTTGTTAATGTTAGTTAATGAAAATACAGTCGTTCATTGTTAGTCCATGTTAATTCACAGTGCATTAGCTAATGTTAACAAGCACAGCTTTTGATTTGAATAATGCATTAATAAATGTTGAAATTAACATTAACATTAATAAATGCTGAAGAACTATTGTTCATTCTTAGTTTATGTTAACTAAAGTAGTTAACTAATGAACCTTATTGTAAAGTGTTACCAAATTACACTATATATGTTTTTTAATATATTCTATCTGAATTTAAATATAACATAAATCTAAAGTGTTATGTTATATGTATTCACAGTAGCTGGAGGTCAAATCACTTCTATGAAAATACAGTATGAAAGTATTATGCAAGAAGAAAAAACTGTGGAGTATTGTGACATGACACTAGCACAATAATGTAGAAAAATGGTTGCCGGAGACAATACACATTTATACAGTATAGTGGTGATTATTCAAAGTGACACAATGTCATGAATGACCAAGTATATTTTTCTACATTTAATAAATGTCTAGATACCTGCCACTAATAATAATAATACCCAGTATGTTATAAAAAAGTCAGTTCAGTTGATGTATTTACAAATTTATTTTAATTTAACATCATGCTTTTTGTGTTAAACTTAGGCTCTGAGTATATCCTGCATGAGAAAGAAGCCAGTGTCCAAATAATGGCCAGATTAGCCTGAACAGATGGAGGGGTCACAGTCCAACAGCTAAACACAGAGCACATAAAGACAATGTTTAAGCAGAATCTATTCTCTCCCAAAGACAACGTCAATCAAACCAACTTAAAATTTCTGATGGACATCTTTACAACATTCCTTAAACAGGTAGAGAACTCATAAAGTGACAGATCCTCCGTGAAGACATTAAAACTGTTCAGAAATATTATTAGCCATTTTATAAGTGATAAAAATACCGCTTTCAGTCTCTCAAACATCCCACATCCATTCTGGGACTAAGTAGATTGTTTAAGAATGTGGCCGCCACCAATGCTCAGTTAAGTCTAGAAAGTGATAAAGTCACTTTATCGCCAAGTCTAAACACCAATAATATTCTCCGATTTCAAAGTGATGTCATTCGATGTTCTTATTAATAAAAAACTGAGGATTGTTCTTGATGTTTCTAATGGCTGAATCAACTACTCTAGGGCCCAAAACGGCTATTGTGCAAGTGTTGTTCTTTTTACATAAGATTTGATGTGATTTCTTTGTCTAACTCTTTGGCCTGACATGACTCAATCCGTTTCATGTGATCTGTAAAAGCGCGTTTGTCAGCATCCGCATTGTTTTGTTAGCTTAAACCACTTTGACGTTGTAGGTAATAGTTAACAAGTCTTTAAAATAGTCAAAGATCTGGTACCAAAGCCCAGCGTGTTCCACTGTCAGTCTCTCCTCATTAAGAACAATCCACAGGAAGCAGACAAGACAGTCAAGACAGAATGATTTCGGCCAACAATCCCTCATTGTACAGCTTCTTATATGTATAAGTCTAGTCTGAGCTAATTGAATTTAAAATGAGATCTTCCCTCAAGGTTCATTCATTATCAGAGTCCCAACAGAAGCACAATGGTTAGCAAGAACCAATGGCGGCAATCCTGGAAGAAATGAGGCACGTTTAGATATTTTGTCCATAATTATGTCTAAGAAAAAGTAGTTTCGCTATGTTGCTTTAACAGGCCGTACCTGCAGTGGTGCAAACAAGAAGTTTGCTCTTCGGTGGGCAGGGTCTGATGCACCCTCGTCCTTTGTGCGTGTGCAGAGAGGGTGGACCCGGTGGGCTTTGATTCTCAAACAGACTCCCTTTTCAGACGCTTCCCCCGAGCCTGGCTCTGCTCACATCCTTGGAAAATTCGAGAGGAGAAAAAGTTTATGGAAGCGAGCAGTAGTTTATTCACCAGGCCGCCAAGGCCTTTCAGAGCCTTGAGAGTGAGAGTCTATAAGGAGGCAATCAAGCATGTGCTGGGAATAAGCTCAGTTGCCTTCCTACCTGTGACGGCCTCCCTCAAGTGCGGCTAAGAGACTCCTACTCCTTGAATGGAGGGAAGAACAATGGGCGAGAGGAACAAACAATTCAGAGAAGTCTATCATTCTGTATGCTGTTATCTTAGGCACTGAATAAAAGCAGACCCCCAACCCCCCACCCCTTTCTGCCCAACAGTCAGCACTATTTTCAGGGACCAGTAGCACTCCTCAGGTCCCTTTCAGAGGCTCTCAACAGGTTCACGAGGGCAAGAAGTGCAGTATATTAAAAAAAAACTGAGGTAGTAACTTCACTTGACTGGAGTCACAGAGAATCTGAAGTGTTTCGGATTTCATTGCCAAAGGGTTTTCCACAACATATAAACCAAACAAGCTGAAATATGACTGCTAATATATATATATATATATATATATATATATATATATATACGTTTTTGTAAAATTAATTCTGTCATAATTTACTCACCTTCAACACAAAAATAGATGTTTAGTAGAGTTTTCTATAAAACTAGAGTTCTGTATAAAGAAGGTGAATGAGGACAGGGAATGTTCAGCTCCAAAAAATTTAAAAGGTACCATAAAAGCGGTCCATATGACTTGCGCACTATATTCCAAGTTTTATAAAGCCACATGACACCACTTTAAAGGAAAAATGTTAGTAATTACTCACTGAAAATCTTGCTTGATGGCCTGTCACCATTTACTTTTATTGCATTGAAAAGAGCTTTTGTTTTACTTTAAATAACTCAACTGAAAAAATACATAATTTTCATATTTGAATTAGGGATGCGCCGATACCATTTTTTCACATCCGTTCCGATACCAAAAATTCTGCGTATAGGCCGATACCGATACCAGCACTGTTTTTTTCAATCAATGTAGAATTTCTATACCCCAGGGTGACCTGATCATCACTGTTTTGTGATCTACTAAATATTCATTTTAAAGGGGTCCTATTATGCTTTTTCACTTTTTCAACTTTAGTTAGTCTGTAATGTTGCTGTTTGAGCATAAAAAATATCTGCAAAGTTACAAAGCTCAAAGTCCACTTCAAAAGGAGATATTTTATTTAACAGAAATCACTTTTCAAAAACTACAACGAACGACTCGTTTGGACTACAACGAATATTTTCCAGGATTTGTGATATCACAAATACCGACGAATGGGACGAGACCTGGTTGAGCTGCACTAGAGAAGGCAACGAGTGTTATCACTATGTCGGAGACACGATAGCTTTCCCAAGGCAGACAAACTTAAAGTGGTTACAATCATCCGGGTTTAAATCACGCTCAGATTGATTTGATTTTGACGCAATATTTTCACTGAAGCTCACAGGCGGCTGTGGTAAGGGGCGTGACATTTCCCGAGCAGGCGCTGAGTGCTGCCAATCACAACACACACTGGCCCAGCTAACCAATCACAGCACGTTTCGTATTTCAGAAGGCGGGCCTTCATTTGATACAGGAACTATTCGAGCCGTTCATGCCGGACTGGGGAGAGAGGTGTTGTAATAATGTAAAATATGTGGAAAATAAAGTGTTTTTCGAACAACCTAGTATGGGAGCCTGTTCTAGTACACCCCCAAAACAAAATCAAGACTTTGTAAAAGAGCATAATAGGACCCCTTTAAAGAAAAATAACAAATGAAAAAAAATATATAATCATAATCTATGACAAAAATACTATTATAAACTAGGTTAGGGGATAATTCAGCAGCAAAAGTTATTCTAGAAAAATCATGAGTGCACAATCATTTTATCAAATCTAAACATTTAGTGAAATAACATTATTTAGTGGGGAACAAATAAAAGTGAATAAGTTTAGGACTAAATCTGGTAAAATGTTATATTGCTCTTTGTATTGTTGTAAAATACATTCATGAAAAACAAGTAAATATATTTATATATACATTATGTGTGTATAATATATATACTTCTAAATGTATAGCACAGTAATGGAGGCAGCAACATATGATAGATAGGACAGAACAAGAAAGGCTATTAATAATCTTTCATTGCGCAAAAGTATTATAATATGAAAGGCTTCGATACAGAGCGGCAAAAAGCGTTTATGCCCATCCCATGCGCAGAATAATGCGCTTGAAGCAACACGGAGTCACAGCGTGCAGCGCTCCGCATTGAAAGCACAAAGAGAAGAGATATTGATGCGTAGTATATTATATCTGCGCGATAGGTTATTGAGCCTTTTCTTTTAACAGTTTTAAATTTCAGTTACTGTGCTCTTGAAGAGAGTTTCATCGTCTTGACTGTCGTAACCGAACGCAGTTTGAATGCTGAATGGAGGATGCAGCGGAGAGAAGAGTTTACGTCAACTTGAATGTAACGACTTAAATGCTCATCTGTAGCTCACATTAAACTATGGAACGGCTTCAGAACACTTGGAATATAGTGCCGAAAACTTTATGTGCTTTATAATGTTTTTGTGCCTTTCGTGGGGCTTAACAATAACACAGAATAGTATACACAATATCGGATTTGGATCGATCTCGTCTGACCGATACCCGATACTGAATATCGGATCGGTGCATCCCTAATTTGAATGTGCTATTCCTTTAGGAATAAGTAAACGTATTTACTTATACAAATTACTAGAATGCTCCTTTTGCAGAAATTCCTCTATCGAAAATGTTGGCGAAAAAAAATCACATCTCAACATCCTCATTTCTCTTCCTTTCACCTTTCTTAGGCAAAAACCCTCTCATGCCTAAGTAATGCCATCCAAGACCATAAGCTCTTGTGTAAAGTCGTAAAGCAGGGTTTCCTGGCCACCAGTGCTTTTCCTCACAGATGCACTGGCCCCTGCCTGTGGGAAACGGGAAACCATGACTTATCTGAACATATGGTTTCCCAATTCAAGTCAAAATGTCTGAGCCCTGTTGCATCTGGTGCCATTTTAGTTGGTTAAAAATGCCACACAGGACTGTGACGAAAGGAGAAGAAATGGAGGAAAATACAGTTATTACACACCCATGGGCTCATTTTTTCAGCTCATTAGCCACTGGCCTCCGTGACCAATTAGGCTTTGTCACCATTGCTGGGGTCATTATGCTCACATCTTCTTGCATGCTCATTCAGCTGTCTTTAGGGAGAAAATAAAAGAGAGAGAAAGAGAGCTCATTGATAGAGGCAGGAAAAGGCAAACCCTTATAAATTGATTGGAAATTAAAGAGAAAGTCACAATGAGATAATTCCTCTGCTGACGCTTGTGTCTTCATGAGTAGGAATGTGTGGGATTTACAGATGATGCCTTAATGGGCCCTAACTGATGCCTCCCACCGTTGTTTTAGACATTTAAAGTAACGGAAAATTGTACACAACGCACTCGATCCTAAATCGCAAATGCTTAATTTTTTTTACTCATTTTGCTAATCCCACAAAGTGGCTGTGTAATTATGAGAAAATAATAAATGTCTCACCTGAAGTCATAAGTTAATCTCTGCTTAAAAACTCATCAAGTGATGCAAGGCAAAAGTCAGTTTAGAGTTTGATAAATGCGTTACCTCCCCTGTGCAGGTCAGTTACTGGCCAGTATGTGTAAATGGGGTCCATGGGGAGAGGGTAGAGCCGATGTCAATCACAAAGTTAACCCATTCAAAAGACCATAATTGGCGTGGGTCCACCTCATCCCTGCATCCGAGAGCACTGTTGGCCCCGTGGGGCCTCATGAACCCCCCACTACCCCCAGACTGACCACAGTCCATTTATCAGAGATGGGGGGCAGCTTGGCAGGCCTTACATACACTCCCCTGCATAAGCATTGCACACACTCTCACACACACACACACACACACATACAACCCAAACAAATATGCTGCGGGGACCGTGGCAGACACACCATGTAACAACAAATTTACAACAGGCGCACCATGGAAATGGCTGGGTCAATATGATGACTAATGGTGTATCACTGTGTGGATAACGGACGAGTGTGAATGCACCAGATTTCATGTTTATCTTTAGTGATCAGAGAATCATCGAAAGATTAAAGATAATTTCCTGTGCAAAGAAAATAAAGGAAACATCAGGAAAATGAATATGATAGATCATAAAACTGCAATGATAGATAGATAGATAGATAGATAGATAGATAGATAGATAGATAGATAGATAGATAGATAGATAGATATAGAAGAACCATAATAGATTTTTTAATAATAGATTAAAAAAACAAAACAAGAATACTTTTTTTTTGTGATTTTCCATTTTTGTCAGATGCCAGCACTTCCCAGCAGGCCATGTGTTCACTCTCTTTAAAAGAATAGGAAACCAGGCTGCTAACAGCAGACTGAACCGTAGGCTAATTCCCTGTGTTTAATACAAAAGAACCAATTATATGCTAATCAGCACATCTCAGCACTGCTTCAGCTCCCCATCCTTCACCGGCAGCACAAGATAACAGTTAGTCATGCTTCCTTTTAGAGCCGCTGACTTCTCCTCCAGCTAGGCTCACTATAGGCTAATCTGTCAGTTAAAGTCTGCTATAGAGGTGTCAAATTAATTCATTAAGCAAATTAGCAAAAATATTAATTGATATACTTAATATTAAATCTAGTATAAAGTGGCCTTGAAAGTATTTGTACATGTAAGTCACACCTAAAAATTTAGGTATGTCTTTGGATTAAATTTATTTTTAAGACAAAAAGCATGTATTTTAAGCAATACACTTCACAAAAAAAAAAACTATTTTTCCATAATAAAACAATAGATTTACTGTTCAAATATAAGATAATAAGTATTTAGACATTTTTGGTTTCCAAATATTAGTGTAACGTCCATAGTTGTGATGAAGTACACCTGTGGTTATAAGACACCTGTGTGAACTTGATAGGAAATGATTCA